TTGGGTCATCCCAAAGTCACCAGTTAGAGCCCTTGGAGCTTCCTGTACTCAAGGCAGAGCCCATAGCAATGCCTGGATTCTTGACTTTGGCATAATCCCACAGTTCTGCCTGGGCTGGCATCTGGGTCCATTGGCCATCAGCAACCCAGATGCCCATGGGAGCATCGAGGGTACAGTAGTGATTCTGGACTCTGGCCTCGGACAGCTCCACATCCGTTCTGCTCTAGATGCCCTCTGACTTCAATCTCAACCTCTACCGAGTCCACTTCTTCCCCTACTCTATGGGATGGCAGGGATAAGTGTCTGCTTGCCTGTGTGTGCTGTGTGCACACACCTGTGCATGCATATGTTTGGAAGGTAGTTTCAGCTAAACAGAATATTTGAGGCACAAATAGATCCCTGGAGATGGCTGAGACATAAAACTTAACACTAGGAAAGTACTCATCAATTGCTTGAAACGCAAATATAAACATGTAGCCTGCATTTCTTCCAGCCGCCCTGCTGTCCCCAGGACACCCACTCCCCCGCCACCCCATCTCATCCCACCCCAGGTCAGGTCCCCTTTGCTTCTGGAGACTCGAGGATTGACCTTGGACCTGTTCAGAAACTGTATGGTCAGTTCAGGGAAGAGATGCGGTTTTTTAAAATAAGGTGGTCACATGCTCGCACATTTCCGCTCCAGATACATAAGTGGTTAGTCTTATGACATGGAAGCAGGCTTTGATCCTGTTAGGACACCAACTCTGTCTTGGGGGCCAGCTGCACAGTATTCTGTGAGCATGGCGCCCCCTGGAGCCCATCTCAGAATCAGGCAGCTCGAAGTACTGTTTTGGGTTCCTTTGAGCCCTAGGCTAAGCAGCCTGTGTGAGTTAGTCAGATACCACTCTGTCAGTCTCTGGGGCACCCAAGGACTCTGCAGGTGCCTGACAACAAGCACATAAGCAGGAAGAAGATGTTACCTCCCGGGTGGAGGACTCAGGGCATAGTGACAGGCTGGGAGACGAGAGAAGCCAAGCACTCAGGAGGCAGAGGCAGGCGGATCTCTGTGAGTTTGAGGCCAGCCTGGTCTACAAGAGCTAGTTCCAGGACAGGAACCAAAAGCTACGGAGAAATCCTGTCTCAAAAAAAAAAAAAAAAAAAGAGAGAGAGAGACAGAAGCTGAGACTGTAGACAAGGAAGGCAACACTTCCAGTTGCGGAAGACAAGCTATGAGGCACCCCCTTCCCCAGTACCAACCCTAGCCACAGTCCAGGATGCCAGAAACTACCCTAGGATCAGTTACAGTCTGAGGCTGTGTAAACAATGTGGAAGTATTTAGAACACATTAAAGCGAGGGTGGCTGTTTGCTGGGGAGGAGGATGGAGGAGGCTTGGTGACATGATGGACTGCGGCGTCGGGACTTTAAATTATGAGCAAGTGTCTGTGTTCAAGTTGGGACAGTTCAGAGTTGATGGCCAGCTACTCTAGGCTCTGCCTTCTGGGAAAACAGAGGTGGACTGGACTGGCACTTAGAAGTACAGGCTTGGGTATCTGTGAGGCTCAGGGACTACCCAACAGCCATGCGTAGTGTCCCAGGATACACAGCAGGGGGCGCCAGATACCTCCGAATCATTCCCAATCCTGGCGTTCCTTGCAACCACTGACAGCTATGGGAGTAACGGGGTAGGTGGCGCTCTGTACAAAAAGATGGCCTTATACAGCCTAAGAATTTCCTGACCCCAAGTGGAAAGAGACTCCTTAGGTATTGGATGTCTCTGCAGGAGGTCCTGTGTGGGGCAGGGGACAGGCACTGTCCTCCAGACACTGAATATCGGAATTCCAGGCTTCAGGGCAGTCACTGGGCAGGTTTCAAACTTGCCCGCCCTATATGATACTGTACCTGGGTCCATCCTTCGGAAGCTTGCAAGGATACAAACCACTCCCCGTTCCCAGCGCTGAAGTTTAGAAGGAATCCTAGCTGTTATTAAAGGATGGAGCCACCGTTTTGAGATTCCCACCAAACGTGGATACTCAAGGCCCCTGGAAGGCATTTAGCATTTTGCTGTTGTTGGCTCGCTCTCTCTCTCTCTCTCTCTCTCTCTCTCTCTCTCTCTCTCTCTCGACATTTTTATTGATTATTCCATACATCTTTATTTGTAAATGCTCATTGCAATGAATCATTGGTTTGGTTCAAAGTCTCTGGCATCTGCTGCACCCTTGATGCTGGCTCTCACTGGAACTCCTCTTGGATAACCTGCTGTTGCCTTGTGTCATGGAGATCTGGTAGCCTTGGATGTGCAGCACCTGGTAGAATGTGCCCTGCACCTCACCCAGGGAACACAGTAGCACTGATTCTGTGGGTGGGAGTTTGGGTGAACCGGCCCTGAGGGCATGGGCAGGAGATCTGACCTTGCCCCCTTCATCTGTCATGTGGTGGCATGGGTGAGGGAAAAAGCCCCCCTCTGCTCACTCCGTGCTACCTATGGCAGGCAGGAAAGCTGGCCCAGGGGTCACGAGAGCGGGAGAGCGGGAGAGCGGGCCCTGCACCTCACTGGGGTGAAGCGGTAGAGCCGCCTGGTGATGTGGGTGTGGGTGAGTTGGTCCTGAGGATGTGAGAGCAGGAGAACTGGCCCCACTCCTTGCTGTCTGATGCAGAGGGTGAGCTAGCTGAGGCAGTGATGGAGAGTTGGCCCTGGTGGTGTCGGTGAGGGAAAACTGGCAGGCTGACCAAATCAGCTACCACCCAGGCCCCAAACCAGGGCAAAACCTGGTGAGTGTTGAGCATATGAAGGGACTGGGCTGACATTTAACATGTTTAAAAATCGAATTAATTATTGTTTATGTGTTTGCATGTGTGTTGTGGGTGTGCGTGTGGAGGTCAGAGGACACTTGTCGGAGCAGATTCTCTCCTTCCACCAGGCGGGTTGTGGGGATCAAACTCAGGTCCTCAGGTTTAGCAGCAAGCGCCTCTACCTGTTGAACCATTGTAGCGGCCCCTCTTGAAGTTATTTTGAGTGGTCTGCAGGATAACAGGGAGAGAGACAGAGAGGGATGGGTGGGGTGCAGAGGAGGTGTGTTCTGGGTGGCAGTGGCCCTCCAGGTGGGCCAAGGAGGGTCTCCGTCCAGGCCAGTGAGGTAAGGAGTCCTAAAGACTGGGGGGAGAGAAAGTGTGTGCAGTAGAGATGTGATGTGGAGAAGAATGTGTGTTCTGGGACATGTGGGGACCTGGAAGATTGACTGGCCCTTGCAAGCCAGCGTAAGCACCAGAGCTGTGATGGTGGGGCTGGTTTATTTAAAGTTTTCTTCTGCAAAGGTAATAAACCAAGGAAAATACACATCCAGAAAGGGAGGAGAAAGCAGCCAGACGCCCAGTTTCCTCTCCCAAGCCCATTACAGATTATTAGCTCTAGACTCTGCTGAGTTCAGTCTTAATTAGGAGAGCAGTTTTCAAGGAACCACACATTTCCTCCCATGCTTGTTCCGACCACAAGTGTCTTTCCGTGTTACTTTCAGATACAGTCTCATTGGGGTGGATGGTTGATGGTCACACCCTGGTGGACCTCTGATGGCCTGACGCTCAGGCTCGGGATGTCTGCTCCTTTGGGTTCTGATGAGCTTCCTGTCCCTTTGCCAGGGCCTCTCTGCCTATGCTGTAAGTCACAGTTATGAGCACAGCTGCGTTGCCCTCATTGTCCCCGTGAATCATATACCTGGAGTTGCTTCATGGATCCTGACACAATTGCCCTGATAGTGGCCTCACCTCTTGTAGCACAGTGGCCAGCGTTCTGGAAGTGAAACCAGACGCTCTCTGCTGCATGGCTGAATGCCAATACTACCGAACTATACCCCTCTCTGGGTCTCTGGTTAGATTTAGGCTGCTACTTGGGAAAGTGTAAGTCAGGAGTCATTTGGATGAGGACTTGAGGGGCAACTACAAGGAACCTGGGACCCTTGGGCCACACAACTCCAGAACAGGGTACCAGAATCCCCGAAGTGTTAAGGAACAATGGAAACCATTACTCTGGAAACAGGCCCTGCATTCAGCATAATGAAGGACCCCCAAGGACACAATGGAGACCATTAATATGGACATAGGCTCTGCATCCAGCAAGGGGCTGAGACCTCAGGGGTGGAGCCACAGGGCTATGCTTACTTGGTTAGGTGGACACAGGTTCTAGCAAGGGATAAACACAGGGTTCCTATTGGCTTCTAATATTCCTTGGCTGGGACAGTGCCTTCCCGGTAGAGACTTGGAGGAAAGCTATGGTCTGGGGAAGGGGTCTAGCATGGCTCCACACTTCCTGTCCCTGACCGCTCTGCCAGGGTCCTGGATGAGGGAGTGTCTGCAGGCTTACTGAGGGGGCTGTGGGATCACAGGGGGCCCATAGCATAGGACATGGATCTTAGCAGCTCCTGTATCAGATCTAGAACACCTCTCCTTCTGGGGAGGAGGGGGTATTAGATACAGCCATGCTGAACTCAGCTTTGAAAACTGCTGGATTTGATCTGTGGTCCGATTCCCCCAGCTGCTCTCCCAGCTCCTCCCGCCAGACAGCTGGGAAACAGAGACCCACAGTCCTCTGCTTGGGGATGAAATATTCAGTTTGATGGCTCAGGCAGGTGGCGCTTCCTTTCTGGTCCCCAGCCCTCCTATAAAGAGGAGACTGAGCGTTGGCAGTGGCCCCACAAGGCTGCAGATCGGGTGGAATAGACCAGCACCAAGGTATCTCTTGGGAGGGTTTGGACCGCTTTCTCTACAGATAGGGTGAACCGGGTGTGTGTGGTGGGGGTGAGGGGTAGGGAAGTCATCTCTTAAATAGTCAGAATGAATAAGATTTCACCGCAGAATGATAATTTAGGAAAAGAGAAACAGAAGTAGCTATGATGAGGCTAGTGTTCCCAAGGGGAGTCCGCTTTGGGGTGACAGGTTGGGTTAGTCCTCGGAGGCAGCAGCAGCATTCCTGGCTTCTTCCTGCTGCAGGTGGTCCTGAGTATATCGACTGCATATATCCTTGGTGAAGATGCAAGCCTGCATGCTGTGGTGGCTGGCCATTGGCGTCCTGCTGGCGATTCCTGCAGGTGAGGGGCCACTCAGGGACTGGGTGGAGCAGTAGCTCTCCTTGTCTCTCCTTCACCCCGTCCTTGTCTTGGTCTGCAGGGGTTAATGGAGGGTTGCCCTAGGTGATGGCTCTCCTTTTCTTTTGCAGGAGCCAAACCGATGCCAGAGGAAACAGGTACTTTTTAAAAAATGTCTTTCCTTTCTCTATAATAAGTTCCTGGTACATGCGGGTGGGTGGGGGGCAGAAGTTGCCATTCCCTGGCAGGCATTGAACAGTGGGAGCCCTAGCTCTCCTGGGAGGATGACAATGCAGGTGCTATCGCCAGTAGGGAGCTGTGCATGCTGAGGGATGCAGGACAGCATCAGGTTGGCCTGGTTTTCTGCCACATGGAAGCATCCAGGCAGAAAGGAGACAGATGAGCCCTCGGGGTCCCACCCTCACCCTGGTCTTAGACCCTGGACCTTGTCTTCTGGACAAGGAAGCATCCAGGCAGAAAGGAGACGGATGAGCCCTCGGGGTCCCACCCTCAGCCTGGGCTTAGACCCTGGACCTCTTCAGGAATCCCAGCTCAGTCCAATCCCACCTGTCCTCTGCTCTAGAACTCGGGTGCTGTGTGCTTTGAAGCCTTGTCTGGCATGCGCCTGAGCCCCTCACCCCTCACCCATCTGCCTCTCTGCCCAGCATCTCCCCAGACAAGAACAAGGCCATAGTCCTCCCCCACGTCTCCTCTGCTTAACAGACCAGGTACCCTAATGGCCAAAAGCTACACTCAGAATGATTCCGACCCCACTCCTGACGGAAAAGATGTCATCACTGTGGCAGGCCCTGGGGGACACCATCCACTTGCCCTGGCTGTATAGGGGGTGTTCTGGCAGCGGTGATGGGACAGGTTCTGAGGAGGTTACCTGTGTCTTTCAGACCCCTACACTCAGCCACCAGCCATGCCCTACTGGCCTTTCTCCACCTCTGACTTCTGGAACTACGTGCAGTATTTCCAGACCCAGGGTGCATACCCACAGATCGAGGACATGGCCAGGACCTTCTTTGCACACTTCCCTCTGGGGAGCACCCTGGGTTTCCATGTCCCCTACCAGGAGGACTGAGCAGTGTCCAGTCTGCTGCCTGCCTGGCTGCACTGGCTGGGGCCTAAGGTGGTCCAGAGACCCAGTGATGGACAAGGGATGGGACTCGTGCTCAATAAACTCTCTATGAAGATGCATTACACCCTGTGGATTTCTTTCAAGGAGCTGATGTGTGCTGTATCACTCTGTGAAGTAGCTTTATTCTGACGACGACTGAGCACACCTTTAATAAAAACCAGCATGATTTCTATGCCCGGGAGTGTCAATCAGGGCTTTCACCCTTAGGCATCACCTTGTCATTCTGTCCTCATAATGACCTGGGCGTGGGCTATGGTGGCCCCAGATTGTAGGCAGGGAATCTGAAACAAAGACATCAAACAGTTCAACCTGACTTGTTAAGGCCATGTGCCCAGTTAGGCAAGCGGACAGCATCCCGGACAGCTCCTTCGTGAACAGCAGTCACGTTGGGGCCAGGCACCCAGGCTTGGCACACATCATGTTCCTGGGGGAAGCAGGAATCACGGAGTCATATCCCCGTCTGGAAGGGAGAGTTATATACCACACTTGGTCTTTGAAGGAAAGATTCCAGACTGAGGCTACTGGGGGAAGGAAACGGTCACCCTGGGTAGTCCCGTGGGTGTGGGAGGATGTACAGACAGTGCGGCGTAAGGCAGAGGCCTATTTACTCCACGACACATACGAAGCGTCAAGTCAAGAACACACTGGTTAATGCCGCCCCTCTCCCCCGCCACTAGTTGGGAGAGGAATTGAATAGGAGGTGCCTCTTGGCTTCCAGCCTGTCTCAGCCTCCTTGGGTTGACCTTCACCTGGACATCTCAGGACAACACTGACCTGGCACCTGAGGCTCTCCAGCCATTGCTTACTTCTCCTGGATCCTGCACTTAGGCTTGGGGGTGGGGAGAGGGGCGCAATGACTGCCCAGGCCACGATTCCCATTAAACCTTGGCTAAGTCGATTTCCCAGGAGCTCTCTTCTCCCTTGACCCCGATTCTCACTCTAGCAGCCCAGACACTGAGTCCTAGACGTCTCAAAGTTGTTAAAGGAAAAACAACAACAACAACCCAGTCCCTGAACACTATCAAACCAGAGTAAGGGGGCCCATCCAAAGCCATGTGACAGGTACAAGAGCCACAGCCTTGTACTGCATGGAGAGGCTTGGCTCGACATTGGCAAACACGGATTAACCACCAAGCAGAAGGGTGGAGGTGGATGGGAAAAGACTCAGGAGTAACACAGGGGTTTTGCTGAAGGCAGGGTCAAATGACACCATTTGGGGATAGTGGAAGGTGATGAGACCTCTCAGACATGGAGCATAGGCGGATATCAGTTGGTTTCAGGCTTCTTGCTACATTGATTTCACAAGGATATTTATTAAAACTGGATCTTAGAAGGAGGCACACAGTTAGTCCTATGGAACCTCCAGGAGCCTCACCAGAATAGTCTAGACTGTCAGAGTATCTCAGGATTTCTTCTCTCTCAATGATCCCAGCCCCCTCCATCCCTTCCTCATCTCTTTTCTTTCATTCATTCTTTAAAAACCATGGTACAATACAATAGAGCACTTTAAAATGGACAGTCCAGTGATATAACCAACTCTCCTGCCTCCTGTAAAACACACCTCTAGAACTCTTTGCAGATCTGAAACTGTCCACTGAACATCTGCCACCCCCGAAGCCACCACACTGCGGCATTTCTAGAAGTTTCATTACCCGGGGAATCTCATGAGTGGGACCACAGCATTTGTTTTATTTCACTTAACAACATCTTCAAGGCTCGTCCATGCCCACGGGCTAGAAATCCCTTCTTAGTTAAGACTGCACAGTATCCCCCGTGTGGGTAAAACCTGTTTCGGTTTTGTCTGCGTTCATGCGTCCACGGGTATTGGGCTACTGCCTCCTCTTGACTGCGGTGATCCTGAGCCATTTCCGAGTGAACTTAGACAGGGATTCTGGGTCACGGCCACTGTGCACAACGTTTGGATTTCTGTTACCCCCATCTTTTCGTTACCCCATTACCGCCTGCGGTTTCTGTATTAGTCATTCTGACGGTTTTGAGCAGCATCCCTGCTGAGAAACGGACAGTCTCCTTTCTCCTCCGATCACTCGTGCCCGTGGGGTGCTGCTGGTCCTTAACCGGCGATTTGCTGTCCTAGCCTGCTCGAAGGGAGACAGCTCAGGTGCCTAGAAACAAGGGCGGCAGGACACCACCGAGGCGCGGTCCTCCGGCGTCTAGACCAGTTCGGTGGTTCACCGGAAGTGGACGGGGCTAGCCGGAAGTGAGCGCAAGGCTGCAGCGCGGAGATGAAGCCAGCGGTGGATGAGATGTTTCCCGAAGGCGCGGGGCCCTACGTGGACCTGGACGAGGTTGGGCTGCGGCAATACGAATCGGGGCGTGGGGGGCGGGAGCACGGCTCGCAAGCACGCGCGGAAGCCCAGGCTCTTGCGGAGTCAAAAGCTGCAGGCGGCTGGGGAAGCGGAAGCTGGTGGTGACAGTCTCAGGGCCCGAGTCAGTGTTAACGTGAATTGCAGCGAGGACGTAGGGTTTGAGCGCAGACAGTTCTTTGACAGGGGCTCCGATTAAATCTTCCCAGGAGAGAAAGCCCGAGCGAGGCGTCTGGCCTGACTGGCCGCCAGCCCCTAAAGCCCTGGGGGAAGGGCAAGGGGCGATGTTTGGGGTTTGTGTGCTTTTCGTTGGGACTCGGTTAATTCCTGTAGACACACAGAGTTTTGGAGCGGGCTTAAGCCTTTGGTCTCCACCATGGCAACAGAACGATTTTATGTGGAAGAGGTGCTCCAGTGAGGTGCTTATGATGAGGAGTGTCTGTCGGCTTTTGTATAATCAGAACCTCTTGCTCCCACCAAAATCTCAGAGAGTAGAGAGATGCTCAGATGCAGCTGCTGTCCTTAGAGAGATCAGGTATGGACAGAAGAGGCCGATCGCAAATCCTAAGTGTAATAGCAAGGGTAGGCGTGCCCTACAGAAGTATCCATGGGATTTCGGTTGGCTCAGTTGAGGCTCAAGAGAGGACCCTCCCCTGAGCCAAATGGTGAAGGTTGTGTTCTGTTGTCATGTGGACATGGATGAAAAGAGCCATAGGAGCAGAGCTCTGGAAGAGTGATGTTCCCGGGCCCACAAAAGAAAGGGAATGTCACCTAGTCGGGTACAGAGGGGAGGGAACAGGCAGGGCTGCATCGTGGCTGAGGCAGTCGCGTTCAGCCCCAGCTCCTCTGTACTGCAGCAGGGAGTGTGGAGAGACAGGCCGACTTCCTGTGGAGATTGGTCCTTTGGAGGGTCGGAGTTTGGGTATGTAGGGAGACAGTAGAGAAATGGAGACAGGAAGGATTAAGACCGGAAGAGGTTCTGAGTGAGGCAGCTGAAGGTCAGGATTTCAGAGGCAGAATCGGGATGGCTTACTGTGGTGATGGAGCTAGGGAGGGAGGCAGAGTCCAGAGAGCATGTTGAAAGGTGTTCAGCCATTTGAGAACCAGGAGAGGGCTGGGCAAGCAGCCTTGGGGTGTTAGGGCACACGCAGGAAGGGGCCTGGGGCAGCCTATCCAGGGTGCCCACCAGAGATCTCTGCTCCCATCTCTCAGGTGACTAAATGGCATAGAGTCTCCCAGAGCATCATGTCTCACAGATTGGCTGTGGCCTGGCTTTACCACCACCATATGGTGGCCGACCTGGAGGGTCCTGTGAGAGCAGAATCACAGGCCTATGCTGGGGTGGTCAGCTTCCCAAGGGGCGTGGCTGTATTCTCAGAGGGGAGGGACCAGAGTTGTTATCAGTCTTGCTGGTGCACTTCTGTGTCCGGTGGCTGGTCCAGGAGGGGGCTGAAGACTCCAGCAAGAGAGTGTTACACAGGGCAATGCCAAGGAGGACTCAAGGAACACAGGACCTTGAGAGCCCTTTAAAATCATTTGCCTGACTTCCCCATCCACACTGCTTCCTTTGTCTGGAGAATTCTGGCTCCAACCTGAGTGTTCTTCCTGTCTCTCAGTGTTCTGTTCCAGGGAGGAGGGGTGGGCATGGAAATCAACCTACCACCTGCTTTTAGAAAACAAACACACTGGAATGACCTTACCTTTCCTTCTCCAGGCTGGAGGGAGCACCGGGCTCCTGATGGACTTGGCAGCCAATGAAAAGGCCGTTCATGCGGACTTTTTTAATGGTGAGTATGCCAGGATTGGGTGCCAGGCTTAATCTGAGTTTCCTCTGCAGTGGGCAGCTTTGTGCCATGGGTAATTTGGATGATGGCACACTGTAGCCCAGACTTTATGCCCTTCTCAGTACTGTGCCAAATGTATGGAGTAAGTCGCTTGGCTATTAGTTCTGACTGTCAGCCTTACTTGGGGGGAAAAGCATGAAATAAATCCCTCCCCAGCACCCCAGGTTGAGTGTGAGCGCTGGCATAGATAGCATATGCAAATGGACACATTGATTATGGCTGTACCAAGACCTGGGCGTAGGGACCTGCGTGGCTCTGTCTTCTCTTACTCTGTCCTGGGTCACACCTGTTTGCCCACCTGGATTCTCTTGTCCTCTGCTGCCTTTGCGTTGTAACAGCTGTGCTCTGCTTGAGCTCGCTCTGTGTCTGAAGTCAGGACAGAGGACATACTTCTGTCTCATAGCTCAGAGCTTTCTTGGTTAGAATATTTTACCGAGTAAACAGTGAAAGTTGACTGTAAAGTCTCCAGGTACGTAACAGGGCATGTTTGGTATCCTCTTGTTCTTCTGATTTCCGAAGGCCTCATTCCTACTGGTTAACCCTTCCCTAGGGTTCAAATGGCAAGTGGGAATTTAAGGGAAGTGTCCTCCTGGGAGGGTAGTGGGGTTTTTCTCCCCTTCCATCCACCTTAGCTCTGTGGTACATGGCTCCCCAAAGAACTAAGGCTCATCAAGCCATGGTGATTTCCAGCTTTCCAGCCGCCTGCTGAAGTCCTGAGCCCAGCTAGGTTTTGGGACTCCTTGGCATGTGGCTGCTGCTTGAGTCGGATGGGTGCATTCCTCCCTGGGGAAATTACTCCTGCCCTACTGGTGCCACAAGTGGGGGTTTGGGGACACACACGTAACACTGGAGCCTTCGACCTGCAGGGATGCATTGCTGTTTTCATGCCAAACTACAAGGTGCTTGTGCGTGTGTCTACAGAACCCCCATGTGCTTTATAAAAATGCCTTCTAAATTGTGATGTGATCAAGAATACACTGTAGACAGTACTGCCCCCCCCCCCCCCCCCGCCCCGGAGTTCTGTCTTCTCTCTCTGGCTGGGTAAAGGTGAGAGCCTGTCTTGGGGAGTCCTTAACTGTCTGCCACTCTCTCTGCCTTTCCAACTGTCATCCAGTTCATTTTGAAGCAGTTTCCTCAGTTGCTTGTCCTATATCTGATAATGTGTTATTTTTTTCCCCACAGATTTTGAAGATCTCTTTGATGATGATGATGTCCAGTGAGGCCGTCCAGTTGTATTTGCTCCACGTGTCTTGAATTTCTCAGGACAGGATCAGATGGTTGAGGAGACCTTGCAGAGATCACTAGAAGTCAGGACCTGGTCAATCACAGGAGGACTGTCTGAACCAACTGGGTGCTGTGGTCTCTGAGAATACTAGCCCCTTGTCCTTGTTTAAATTAAAACAGCACCATAACATGCAGGGTAGCTTTAATTCCTGTGCTTTTGGATGAATATTGCAATCCCCCTCCCCTTGTGCAAACACAGGAATAAACCGCGTCTATTCCCGTAGCATACACAACATGCAGCTTTCCATGTGCAGAGGCTGGGGTTGTACTGTCTGGGTCGGCATGGGCTGTGCAGGCATGTGCGGATGCCTGCCAGAGCACTTTGGAGACCTGACTAAATGAACCCTTGCCCCGTGGATGAAGACCTACTGCACGCCACATTTTTATGCAGCCTCCTTCCTAGAGCTGCTGCTCATGTAAAACCCAGAATAGAGAGGTCCAGGATGCCTAGCTAGGGCAGTGATTTCGAAAGAGCCTTCTACTGAGAAATGCCATGCTGCTTCTCAGACGAGGGTACAGAGTCTGTGGGACACAGTTTTAAAAGACTTATTGGTTACGAATAGCTGAGACAATTAAGACGACAATTTATATCAGTTTCACAGTGAAGGCTCCAGGAGTCCCACACCAGGTTACCCTGTTCGCCGCTTTCAGGGCCGGGGTTGGCAGTGCCTTAGTGTCCTTACTGCTAGATGGGGATGCTGGTGACTGAGGTGCTTCTGGTTTGGGGATCCCCAGCCTTCAACAGGAAGGAAAGACCTGAGGTCTTCGAAGGACAGAGAGCTGTGCAGTGGCTACTTGTGTGTGCAGAGAACCTTGTTAGGACCCAGCCCGGCCCAGAGACCACAGCTAGAAACCCTGGAGGGCGTCTTCTGGCCTTAGTGTTCAGACCAGTGTAGTTGGAGCTGCATCAGGGTGGTAAGCTAGCTGAACATGTGAGCCCGTGTGTGCCCTGTGGAGTCCTTTCCCTTCACGGAAGCCCTGCAGCTCCTGCAGTACTGAGAAGAGGAGGGAGCTCCCTCCCCTCCGACCTGTCAGGGCCAACTCCAAATGAAAGGAACTTTAGCTTCTGTCCTGCTCCTGGCTTCTGCTCTTTCCAGTGACACCTTCAGGGAGGTTATTTCCCCCTGGGAACACTAGAGGCCATTTCATTGGCCTGCCTTCTGTGTGGTCTCACACAGTCTCACGATAGCCAACAATGACCATGCCTCTACTTTGGGAGATAGAACCATGCACCATCATGTTGTGAGAGGGCTTTTTCTTACCCAGGGCCGGGGAGCAGCGGGTGAACCCACACAGTGACAGCCATGATTTATGTGGAGAGTGTTTTTTGCCAACCAAGTTTTGTGATCCTTGTCCAGCCCTTGAGTGAGGGGAGGATGCTAGAGAAGTCCTGTGTGGGTCACAGGGCCTTTGAAACAGTAGTGGGGAAAACTTGCTTGGACTTTTGGGAGGGGGGTTTCTTCCTTCCCTGCCTTCAGGCTTTGTCCTGGGTTGGGTGAAAGCACCCACCCCACTGTGGACATTGCACCAGGATCAACACCAGCTGTGTTCCCAAGATACAGGAAAGTGACAGGGAGAGGAGAGCCTCAGAGGTGTTTTTGAGACAGAATTCACAGTGTATGCCTAACTGTCCTGAATTCACAGTGTATGCCTAACTGTCCTGAATTCACAGTGTATGCCTAACTGTCCTGAATTCACAGTGTATGCCTAACTGTCCTGGGATTTGCAGTGTAGACCAGGCTAGCTTCAAACTCACAAAGATCTGCATCCCAAGGACTGGGACTGAAGGTATGTGCCACCAGGTCCCGAGAGCATCCACGTTTGTGTCAAACTAAAGCTGCAGTTGCTCTGCTAACATAAGCCATGCTTTTAGAAGCCCTTACTGGTTTTAGAAATTCCACTGCTGTGATTACTGCTAGGACTCAAGAAGAGATGCTGAGAAAAGTCTCAATAAGGCCCTTTGTTCCTCCAGAGGCCAAAGCTGGGCATCCAGGACCTGTGTTGTTCTTTATCCACCATGACCTACAGACCCCAGGCAGGATATTGGCCAAGGTCAACTGAGCTTTCTGTTTCAGCCACACCCCTCTCCAGGGAGCAGGATCAGGCACCGTGAGACACCATGGGTCCCGTGTCAGAAACATCCAGCCCTGGATCAATGCAGGGCTTTGGACAGCACTGAATTGTGCAAGTCACACTGCAGGTTCTGAATAATGGCTCCCAGATGGACCAGGATACAGTTATAACGGCTGCTAGGTGCCTTTGGAGGACAGTCAATGTTGTGTACTGTTAGGTGGCTGTCACCTCAAGGGCAGAAGCAGGGAAGTCTAGCAATAGTCACTGTATTTGAGGGATGACCTTGCCTCTTTCTTCCCAGCATCAGACAAACCGTCCAACACATGGTAGGGTCTCAGCAGATGTCTGCTAAATGTAACCACACACATGCCTGAAGTGCATGGGATTTGCAAACCGTGTCCTAGATCTTAAGGAGAGAGATGCCAGGCTTTGTCCCAGCAAGAGCCCTGATTCCATCTGTAGTGGCTCTACTTAAGTCACCTCCCAAAGGCTGGGCCTCCTAATACTTCCCAGGGTGGGGTTTCAGTGTGAGTGGGTTGGAGGTGGAGCACAATAGCAGACAATTCACTTTGGAGTTGAAGAGTGCAAACATGGACAGCCGAACACCAGCCTAAAGGGAACAAGGAACCAAACACATCTGTGGTGTGCTTGCGTGGTCCAGGGTGTGTGTGAGAGGGCTCAGGCCATCAGCAAGGCCAGATAATGGTTTGGAAGTCACTCTTTAGAGGCAGGTCACAGAGCCAAAGCCCAACATTCTTTAGAAAAGTGTACTTAAAATGACACAGAAAACAGTAAAAAGGAGTTTGCAGAACAGCCTGTCCATAAGGCAAATACCCCAAAACGGTTGGTAAGATGGAAACGTTCTGAGAAGAAACGCTGTCCACTGTTGGAGGTAGGGGGTGGGGTGAGGGATGGTGTCATGATCTGTACCCAGCATCTACACACAGGAAGTTCGGGGAGAAACGGGCAGCAAGACCATGCTGGCCAGACACTAGTTTCCTTATCACAGTGGCCAGATTATCCAGATAAAAATGGTAAGGAGAGCGGATATGCCTGAGAGGCACTCACAGAGCATCCCACACAACAGTAGCGGTGGACACATCCCCCATACAGAGAAGTATCTTCTGGTGGTCTAGGTGGAAGCCCTGTGGCAAGAGTAAAGGACAACAAAGGTGCATGTGCCATCAATTTACAGCAGTGCAGTGAAGGAGAATTTCTTCCAGAGTTTTACATAACACTGGGGAACCGGAATGAACGCTCAGCTGCTGGGGAGGTGATACATGGCTATCCTGTGCTCACTCAACAGTAAGCTAAATCTCATGCCTTATCACAGGGGACTCCTCAGGGCCTATGGGTGGCAAAGGTGGGATACAGAGGGAAATGCATTCAATGACATTCTTATCTGTTTACATGTACAAAAAATATACACTGATATACACTGTGTATAAAAGTATATGCTTTTTAGGTGAGTGTATATGACATATACATGTATACAAAACTAATCACCTATACAGCTCATGCTAGTCTATGGGCTGTGATCGCAAATACCTACACATGTGATTATACAAGTATACTAATGTTTCTAAAAGGTCATGCTTTTCATTCTATGAGGAAATATGTATAAATCCAATGTGTCGACGGTGCGGGCCAGAGCTCAGAGGTCAGGGGCAGGTGCTGGCCCCACCTGGATGGAGCTCTTGCATGTGGCCTCATGCAAGCAGAAGAGAGGAGGAGCCTTAGGAGAAGGTGCTTAGTCCAGATGGAGGGAGGAGGATTGAAAGCCAAGATGGGTGGCCACCTGGGGTGGGCCAGACAGTCCTAGGTAAAGGCTTGCACCCAGGTTGGGGTCTTACTCTGTTTTCTTTGGCTCCATTTATAACTAAAATAAACAGGAGGGTTGACAGCAAGGGACAAGGTCTGCCAGCTGGTTTATGCTGTGCACAGTGAATGACCATATGACTCAGCACTCATTAGGCCTTGAAGAGTTATATTTGGACAGGTACATTTGGTCCGCAAGCATGCAAGTCCTTTTTCCTAGCCAATTTTGTCTGGGTGGTCTGGGTCTTGCTCTGGAAGGGACCTGCAGAGGGAGGAGTTCCTCTGAAAAGCAGGTGCACCAGGCTCTCCTGGAGGCTTCCTGTTGTCTGCTCTGCTCACAGTGTGGCAATACAGAAATAGATTTCGAAACTGTGGGTCCACAGATTGGGGCTTTCTGTATGCAGGTCCTGGGATGTTTGTTCTGGTCAGCACTCTCTGGTTGGGTTTGTTTTGCTGAGTTTTTGTTTTTGTCTATTTTAACTTCACATTTCATTTTGCTGTTTCTTCATTTATACTGTTATTTGGGAAGCTCATCCTTGTGCCCCCAACTGTGCCCCAACTGGGCAGTTGCAGAAATGTTGGAAAAGTCTGTAAGAACTCGTGCTGAGGCAGGGCAACCACAAGACCCGCAATGGAAGTAACATTTGGGGGCAATTATAGATTTATTTATTTAACACCTTACTGATGAACATGGTTCCAAAAGATGTCATTCATTGCAAGCCAGTGTGGAGCCTAGCATTTGTCCTTAGGACATTCTGAAGAAGGGCACAGTGGGCTCTCTTGGCAGACAGGTAAGCCGGAGCTCACAGGGTGGGATGGGTGCCCAGCCTCAGGCTGAGATGAGCAGCAGAATAGACTGGCTGACTGCAGTGTCCGTCTCTGTAAGAGACCCAGGGTCTGATCTCAGTCAGCGACCTGAGGCAGGACATCTGCCTCCCTCCCCTACCTGTCCCACTGAGGGGGATTCCTGCAATACTGACTTCAAGACACTGATGATTTCTGCGCAGCTATATACTCTTGAGGAAATCACAAGCTAAGACTCTGAAGAGACGTCCACAGTTCATTTATCTGACATGCTTTGTCAAGAACAGTTTGCCTATGTCCGTAACTAAATCAAGAGCAAGCATGTCCAAGTTAATGAAAAAGTGGCAAAAGATGTTTTGCATATAACTCATTTATATTTATAACTCCGTATGAATGTTCAGAGAGCTCCTACATGATGCGCAGACCCATCAGCCTTCAG